TTCATCTTCCTCTTGCTTTGCAAACGCCGCGTCCGTCATACCCAATGTATCATCAGTTTGCATTCCGACAACGCCAAAATATCTAGAACTTTTGGTTGTCATTAACAAGCATGGGTCATATGTTGAAGTTGTCATGTGTAGTTTTTCACAGTGATGCTTAAAATATGTAGCCCACCAATGAGCTCCAGCCTCTGCTATCCCGTAGAGTGGTTTGATGACGACCATAATAGTGTTATCTGGGTAGTAACCACGAATTTGCTCGGGTGGATATGCTAGAATAGTTCTTTGAAGTTTAGTTTGTGATTGCACATATGCTTGTGTGATATCACGAAGCCAAAGGTGCATGCCACGTTTGATCATTGATGGTGCTAGGGCCATAATAATTCGTTGACTAGCCCGCTGTATAGTTGGGCTTTGGGTTAGTACTGTTTTCTTTCCCTCATCATTGTAACCTTGGACTACTAGGCGTGATTTTTCATACGGGGTCTCAGTAAGCTTTCCTTTAATTTCGCGTACTACGGAGACTTGAAGATTCGTATTTCACGGTGTTTTTGAGGGTCGAATTTTTCAAAGCGAAAGACGCCGCGCCCGATGAGAGATTCAATCTCTAGGCGATCTGACTCTTCAAATGGCTTGCCAGGGGTGGTTATTTTTCCTTCTCGACGTAGCCTGAGTGCCAAGGCTGCATCATGCTTCTCTTTTTCTGACATCCAAGTTGTGTAGGGGGTATTTTCTATGGCTATTTGCTTTGGAATATTCTTCGATCCTCTTGGACGTCCACGCTTACGTTTTTCGGTTTCCTTTTGCAGTGGTTCCTCATAGTCGTCATTGTCAGGCTCGTGACTCTGGGGTTCAGTGATTGGGTCATCGATATTTAGAGGATCAGGGATTATTGTGCTCTCATTGCGGTAGTAAGGTTTCATGGAGACCGTTCTAAAATTAGTTGCCTTGCCATTGACATCGACAGTACAAGTGACGTCATCATTGCTTCGAGCCAAGAGAATGTATGGTCCAGTCCAGCCAATATTTTCGCGCCAAACTTTCACCTCACTTTGTAGCGGGAGCTGTATTGTTTCGAGGATGTTTGGCCCGTTTCGCATCGATAGTCCTTCAGCAACCTGTCGTGTAGCTCTGAGTTTTCTGACTTCTGCCATTGCTTTACGTATGGCATTCGCACGTATCGAAATTGATGGTGACGATGGTGACAATTCTGAAATTCGTGGATAGGTTCCAAAGACCAGGAGGGTGGGCACTAATCCGTTAGGGCCAGCTGTGTCATTCACCGCCTTAACTGCCATCTGAAGTATATGATCCGAGGTCACCGTGGTTTCTAAGTCCGCTGAAATGACTTCATACGCACGTTTTAGGATATGATGATACCGTTCTACCTTACCGATCGAGTTGTGAGCCTCTACAGGGACTTCTTCAACTTTGATTGCCATTGCGTGAGCGTTGGCACGAAATTCCATGGCAGTGAGATTAGTTCCGGCATCTGTGACAACAACATCAAGAGGTCCGACGTACATGTCTACCCACATAGTGCGCAATGTGTCCCACGTAGTTTTAGCTGTCATATTAGTCATGAATCTTGCCGCTTGGAAAGCGGTGGCCTCATCAATGGCATGAAGTACTGGTTTTCTATTAATATACATGATATCAATTATAACGCGATAGTTAAATTCAATATCATCGTGCAGTGTAAATCGGAAACGACCAGGAGCGCTACCGTGCATCTGGCATTGATGACAGTATTTAGTGATCTTTGCGAGTGATTCACGATCCAGATTATCATATCCAGCACATGTTAAAACCTTGTATAGACGTTCAACAGCTGGATGACCAAATCTTCGGTGCAATTGACGTAATTCTAATTTTGTTAAGTGACACCAGGCGACTGATTTTTCACGGTCATCAAGAAGAAGCCAAGGATGGCCCCACTTGCGTACAATTGGGTACTTCTTGTTATTATGAACTAAAATGTTCTCGATATTATTCAAGTAAACGCCGTAGCGATCCATATCAGATAGGCATAGCAGAAATGGAGTGTTGGTCGGCATTATTGCAAAGTGGATCATGCCAAATGGAGTTTTCACAGTAACAGTGCCGAGAGATACGGTTTCTGGATGATCACCAAAGCGAACAGAGTGCTGGCCTGCAACTGCTGTATTGATTTTGATACCTGGGAGTTTTCGCTGCAATGCTTTTACCTGATTCTCACCAGCAGTCGAAATACCTGCAGCGCCGGTATCGGGCATAATGCCCTGAAATTCTTCGGCATCATATCGGCTCTTGAAGTGAAAAAGGTGAGCTGGTTCGATGGATATTTTGCCAAAGGGGTCTGTTCTAGTTAAGGCATGCATAACCGATTGATTATTGAGCATATTTGTTATGATATACCCATTTATATTACCACACGCCGTGTGGAAGTGCTCAAACTTATCAGAGACAGAGGTCTCACGTGTTTCTGAAAGCCAGGCATGAAAATCTTTATCGTTGGATTCGTCATCTGTATGTTCTTCGGTATCAATTCCTTCGTAGTTAACTAGGAATGTTTCCAAGTCTTCACTAAGTCCCATATCTTGAGCGTAAGCACGCCAATCGCTGCGACGTTGTTTACGTTCTTTGGGAGAATGACGGGTTGACCAACATTTAGGTTTGCCACAAACAAAGCACTTCTTTTGCTGTCTTTCACTTCGGTTGTTATTACCTTGAAAATTACCACGGACATAATTGCCACCTTGATTATTGTTCCAACTACGTGAACGGCCGTTTCCTGAATACCGTCTATCAACGAAGTATTGATTACTTTTGTCGCTATTCTCGTCAAGAGCCATGGCGTTGAAGACTCGAGGTAAATTGTTGTGGGATCTCATCCACATACCGACTGCACTTCGAAGGTCAGAAGCTACACCTTCAAATGTTGCTGCTGGCCGTACCAAGACAATAGAGCATGCCTCGACACCTTGACATGCGCTGATTAATTGACCTGGCAGACTATGACTGTCCTTGTAGTTTTGCACAAGTCCTTGATGGATTTTCTGAAGTTTATCAATTACCATTTCCAGACATTCAGATATATTTCTTTCCGGGTTTGCCTCAATTGTACTTTTTAGCATTGTTGAGCGCCATTCCATGAGGTAGGCTTGGTAATTTTCAGGGGTGTGAAAGTAGGAGCGCGTTTTTTCAATCATTTCATCAAAACTAAGATTTTGACGAGCTAAGTGTTGGTAGTAAAAATTTTGAGCCTTATCCTTTAGCATGGTGGAGTAAGCCGAGCCGTATAAATCAGGTGTAACACCAGCTTTGTCACACATGTCGTAAAATATTCTAAGTTTAGCATCCAGCACATCATAAAAGCTTCCGCCGAACTTATTATCTGAGTCAACGTAAAACTTTCCAAGATCCGTTAGTAATCTCGCTGTGTTGGTTGTCATAGATACTTGGGAATAGTAGTTATTGGGCTGAATGGATTCTGAACGCTGATTTGGTGGATAGTTTATTGTGGGACGGGTTTGCTGAAGGGGAGGTCCTGGTTTGGAAGCAGAGACGTTTTCGGTGGAGGGTTCTTGTTTTGGAATGGGAGTCGGTTGTGATGTATCTGATTGGCGGTTTCCTAGGATAAATTCGTATTGTCCATCAAAGTTAGGGTTATAACATCGAGACTTGAAATTATAGCCTTTTTGCATATGCAATTCAAGCTCGTCTTTTGGCCATGGTGGACACTCATCACACTTAAGCAAGTAGTATAGTTGGTCTGGAACTTGACCTCGACCACCAACGTAAACTCCGCTATTCTTTAAGCGATCTTTGAGCTCCCTACGAATGTTTTTGTTAGCAATTTTAAAAATGTTGGCAGTCCAGCCTTCAAAATCTTCCTTGAATTGATTCAGTAGTGCCTTGTCAAACTTATTGCTTGATTCATAGAACTCGAGGCAGTCGACGATGTGAGTGTTAATTAGTTCAGGTGCCAAACTTTCTTCATCTTTTACATCAATCTCCATGCCACTGAGCTTGGTGTCAATGGCGATTGCTACCCATGCTTTGTTTCGAAGATCGGCCATCTTAATGTATCTGTGGATTTAGGCTTTAATCCGTAAAATTGACGTGCGTGATGGACGCAGGCAAAGCAGGTAAGCGGTCGAGGAATTGGGACCAATTGGCCGTCACTCCCTTCTTGCAAATTGTAATGCCCTTAAGAGAGTCGTCGCCTGACCGCAGATTTCACTCTTATTCGCACGCTGTCAGATAAGTTAATCTGAAACGCCGCTTCTTTGTCTCGTGTCGAGCTTGACCGCGTCAACACTTACCCCAATGGAATACCTTGCTGTTCTGTGGTTGTATGACTCAAAATGTCAGTTCAACCACTGATCAGTGTTGGTATGACAAAGGTCATACACTACAAGCCAATAGGTTCACTTGAAGTTATGAGAGTACTGCAGTACGTAATGAGAACAATTGTTCGATTGGGTTCGATTGATTATGTATATCTCTCCCCTAAACTATAGCCACGAAGTTGGTATCTATCCTCGGATAATAGTTTACCCGATATAAAAGAATTACAAAGAGAACTGTTATACATCATGCAGGGACCACCAACTCCAAACCCAAGATAGACTCAACCGAATTAATCGTTCCGACACTGCTATCCTCCCAATTTCGGTATGCTAATTAAACAATTCTAGCTACATCATTCAAAGACTTTATCGTTTTTGAATAATATCCGACTTTTATGGTTTGTCAGTCCTTTCACACATTTAAGTCGTTCATACTCACATAAAGAGCGCAATGTTATGTGTGTATACAGTAATTCTCTCATTTACCAGCTTACAGCTCGAGAGCTAGTAAAGCTGTTATGAGTATTAGCTTTCTAATCTATAAAAATTCTACTATCACTAGCTCATCTGTCCTTACCTTGTGATTACTAATCATTGCGCTGCTTTAATGAAGCTATATTAGTTAATCTTGCTTCTTACGATTGGGGATAACCAGCATTGAGATGGTCATGACTTACATTTTATCCTCACAATTTGATCGTCGAAAGCCTTCAGTATCGAGTCATAGAGGTTCAATGGATGAGGGTCTGTTGTTATCCATATGGTATTCTGTGTCTCAAACAAAATTTTCCGCAACATCGTGGCTAGGTCTTTCAAGCACTCAAATTTAGACGAGAATGCTTTCAGAAGTGTGTCCTCAAAGCCAAGGCTAGTGATAGCAAGGACTTTGAAAGTGTACATATCTACAGCTTTTCCCTTATACCATTTCCTTATTGTTTCCATGTGGGGTGACTCATTCTTACCCCACCCGAAACGTATGCATGCTGAAATGAGTACAAAAAAGAAGGATTCCAGATCGTGTCGATAAGTATGGGTAAACTTGCCATTCGATGGATAAGTATATTCCTTCAAGAGCCCGATAGCCATAAACTCCATCGTGCCAGTTAACGTTTTCGAGCTTTCGGAACAGTCGTCATCCGTTAGCGATATTGCCAAGTCCAAGTCTATCAACACCCCATGACATCCATCATTGCGTTTCGGATCGGTGAGTATGATATTGTTCATCGAAATATCGCGGTGCAATATCTTAGTCTCCATATACAATGATTGATGACCCTTAATCGCATCTCGTAGGCCGCAGATCAGTTCCATGGGTGTTGTCTTTTCATCAATGGCTCGACCGAAGGGTTTGGCGGCAATGACTGTTTCCCAACGATTCCGATAGATCATTGAGTCGTCTGCCATAATGACATCTGCCTTACTGACTGCAGGAACCGATTCGGCATTCTCGATGGCCTGTTCAGCTGGAGCACTTGGTTCGTTAGTGACCTGATTGGACGCAGCTTCAGCTACGGCTTCCGACAAAGACTCCCCGATATTGCTCGAAATGCAACGTCTCTTAAGATCAGGCTCCGATACCGTCTGGACTTCAGCATCACTCTCATCTGCATTCCTGGGTCGTTTGCCCAGAGACGAGTTCAAACCCTCGGCGAGACTATAACTACTCTCGGCAGGTAAACTTATTGATACCGATGACGTTTCGGAAGTCGCATTTTGCGTCACAGGATTGGCGTTAGTTGTCGCAGGATTAAGAATGGTTTTCGACACAGGTTTCTTCCGGGTGCCAGTCGACTTTCCATTTTTGCGCACACGCGCCTTTGAGGCATTGTGAAGGGCTTGCCTCGAAATACTCAAGACACACGAATTTTTACTTCTCCGCAATTTTTTGTTGGCTCCACCAGCAACCGACTCGCTTTCACGCTTGACGCCCTTGCTCAACTCGACGTTTCCATCCGGATTCGACGATCCCGATTGTAACGAGTTGCCAGCCGTCGTCATCTTCATCTCTAGAGGATGGATGTCTTTGTTCATCTCTTCCGTAAAAGTAAGCCCACTTCGAAGGTCGCTGATCTTGACGTAGTTCCGCGATCCAATCAGTGTTGCCACTCCCCTCACGTTGCGTGCTCTCATCAAGAGTTCAACTTCAGACAGTCGGCCAACCGCTCTCCACGAGATCTTGACTACAAACTTCGCGTCGGAGGATATGTACACCGTCGTACCGCGAGATACGATTGCCGTTTGTTTGATGAGTGGTTTCGACCGAAGATAGATCTTCTTCGCCTTGTTCGTGTCTGCATCATTGACGGTGATACTAATCCTGCCTTTCTCACGCTGGATGATCGAGTCAAGGCCGTGCTCTTTGTCGCTCATTAACATGTATGCCGCAATGACATAGACTAGCCTCTCAGGGCTTTCGCCGACTTCAATGTATTCAGCCGAATACGGCCCCGATCGATCGTAGACCCACAACTGCAGTTGCGTCCCAAACATGAGAAACCCGTGTGCAAATTGCCGCAGTGGCTGGGCCGAAAATATCTCCCGCATATAGACCGAGAGCTGGAGAAACTTGTCGACCCACTGTGCAGAAGAAAGCTCAGTCAGCTCTCCCAGAACAAGGATATCCCGCCAATCATGAGCTTTGGCAGCCTTTTCTCGACTCTTGATGAAGATATCAATCTGTCGTATTGCTAGTCCTCCGTCGATCTGTCCGGGTCCTGTCGTGTGGAATGCATCGGCTCGAAGGGGAAAGTTGTCCTTACTTTCACAAGATTCATCGGGTTTGTACGGCTCGATGAACTCAGCTTGGACCGCCTTTATCCATTGCCAGACATTCTTCTCTGTTGGGTCTTTGGGAAACTTGAACGTCGATTTGTCTGGCCTATTCTCGTAGCGCTTTGCGATCTCCTTACACTGGCCTGCCCATGTTGTCCCTTCAAAATACTTTGCATAAAACCCACCGACATTTTCGAAAATAGTACCGGCTAGCTCAGTACGAAGCGCTTCTTACAACGTTTCCATGATCTGGTCGGTTCCTTCGTACGGGGCCGTACAACGGCTGTGACGCGCTTCACCCTGTTTGGTAGAAGCCACACTCATGCCAAACAAGTGGATTGGCTCATAGGTGTCAACAAGTTTAACCACATTGTTCCATATTTCGTTATCTGGTTCGCTAGAAAGAATGGATCTGACTACAGGTATAAAAGAATTTAATTGAATGCTGTGTAGAGTCAATCGTTCCTCAATTGAACTTAGGCGTATATCCATAATTGTATCTGCCGAGGACAGTACTGTGTTATTTTGAGCATAACATGAAAGAGAATTCATAAGGGTTTTTAGAGCTTCACGTAAAGGCTGTAGGTCAGCATTTTCGTCAAGTATTCGTGGCGAATAGTGAAAGTTGCACATAGCGCATACACCTTTAAATGATGAAGTGATCTTTCTCAATGGATTCGCTGTGAAATGCGCCGTGTTATCGATGAAGGTAGACATTTTGTCTTTAGTGCTGAACGGATATAGAACTTGAGGAGGACGGAAATGAAGTCGAAGAGGTTGTGAAAGATACAAGTTGTATGTAATGATGTGTGAAAGTCGGAGTCAAGTGTTGCTGATTTAGACCCAAAAATTATAGATCTAGCTATGGATACCAGGAGATTCCCCCACGAGTAGCTGTCTAAGGAAACGCAATTTTTAATTTAGCTCTATCTCAGAAATTGATGATGCAGATCCTGATAAGGCCTGTGGTGGATCATTCTGTCGGCGCGGTACATGGATGGCACGGCCACTGAAATGGTCGCAACCCGCATTTAAGCCTTTTACCCTTGGTAAAGTGTCCAGCTACTGGCGACCACTAGATGTGATGTTTTGTTGCACTACTTGAGTCTTAGACTATCTCTCACTTTGGGCTCCTCTCTGACCCAGGCCACACCTTGTACAGTAATCCTCCCCTCTTTTGTTACTTGAAAGATCATTGATACATTGCCCTTGATGAATAGCCATTCAGCTTCGTGTTTACCCGTGGAATTCGGCCACCTTTTCCACGGAACCTTCTACTCAAAAAAAATAAAAATGGTAGCAATGAAAACTGCATGCGCAGGAAAAAGTCTCAAAAAACCTGCAGCCCCAGCCAGGCGAGGCCTAGACACCGGGACCACATGAGGTGCGCATATTCATCTATATCTCCCTTCTTTGTAACAGTCGAGGTCGACTTGATCCAATCCGCCATCTCCGTATCGGGTGCTGGGTACGCTCCGGAAACTCATCGGATGGCTTTTCCTCCATGATCAAGGGTTGGTGATGAGTAGGGCTCTGACTGTCGGTAAAAGGATCATATTCGAGCAGTATAAATTATTCTATGTAATTGCGGTATTCAGGTTGTCGTTAGGACAGTGACAAGGATGTGACAAAGCTCACTACCGAGGCATTTGGAGGAGAGGAAGAAAGGGGATTAGATTAGATTAGATTTTATTATAGTCCTGTCTGAGTCTATGACTATGGAGGACTTCTAGGAAGAAAGTGGAGATGGAGCGGAGAAGAAAGAGACAAGGTTTGATGTATTGCGAGATACCAGTTAATTAAATTTATTCACCGACTTCGTGACGGCAACCTATCTGTATTACTTCGTGTTTTTATCAACATCGACCCTACCATTTGATCTGACTGTGGTTAGCTTCGTGATAATCGTGATTGGGGTATTTGATAGGGGTGAAGATGATACATACGGAAAAAGCGATTGAGAATCCTCATTACAGTGAGGATGGTGTTACTCAATCTGGGCTCTGCAGACTCTACAGTGAGGGCTGGAGGTTCGTAGGGGACACCACTGACAGTTGTTGAGAATAGTCCCCCTATGCCAGCAGTATATCCTCTCCCATGCCTCCCTTACAGCTCCCTTCAAACAGGACCAGCCCTCAAAAGTCCGAATTAGATCACACCTAGACGGGTCCTTTGCCCTTCGTTATCTCCCACCTCTACCCAACGAAATGATGGCCATTTGCAGGTGCATGGCAGCCGGGAAACATGACATTAACCACTGAGTGCGGAGCTCTCCTAATACCGGCACTAGGACTAAATTTGAAGACATGTTGACCCGTGTGAAGCGTTCCAAGAGGCTGGACACCTGGTTGCTGAATAATTTTGAGCTAAGGAAACTTACTCTCTTTCTTGCCCCTTTTCCCCTCTTTCCCAAGAGACGAGGTTAAATGTCAGAAAAGTTTTGAGACAGCGTGTCTGCTCTAAAGTAGCTTAGCCCCACTTCATTGTGCCGTCGAAGGAACTATGTAGTGACGTATACTTATCGCCAATAAATTTTCTTGCTATCTCAGATATACAGAATATACTGAGCGATAATACTAGCACCGCTAGAAGATTAAGAGTCGGTCTTTGCCAGCGCTTTGAGGATGTGAATTACCGTGCGATAGGCACTTGAGGCACATGTTTGTTTAATTTTCTATTATTTTAGATGAGATCCTAAGCTAATGCTCTATGTTCACTCTAGGTCCAAGACCAGTGGAGCCGGAACGGGTCCCTATAATTTTTTTCACACAGCCCAGCTCATGCCAAACATATGAATTACTACCAAAGTTGAAGCTGATGAAGATAGAAAGCAAAAGTAAAGACGATCTGAAAGCCTCCGAAAGCCAGAAGATTTCCCCATGTTGGACCTATGCAATGCGATCACACAATCCATCGTCTGTCACAACTTCCAAGTAACAAATCTTACAGATCTCCACTGAGAGCTGGAGATGGGTTAGCAGTTACCTTAAATTCAGCCGGTATCCAGCTGTTGTTTAGCAAATGCCTAAAAAGGCAACGTCGATCTCGCTGTATCCTCGAGCTTCTTCTTCAGGCCCCAGAACTCCGAAGCACGATTCCGCTGCCATGTAGATACCCTTCGCCGAGGTGATGATTGCTTCTTGTTGTGCTTGAGCGGTCATACAGTGGAGAGAGTACTTATCTCCTAAGGTAAGTATCTGAGACTTTGGAGCTGCTGTTTGTAGTATGAAGATGAATCTATCTATAGAACTGTTGTTCTTTGTTCTACCTATGTAATTATTGTCTACATAATGTAGAACACTCATACTTATACACATAGCTCGTCAGTCTACTTGATAGTAGAAGATTCCATCCTGTGTTGTAGAATATTCTACATTCTTCTCTATCTCATCCACATACAAGTGTCCGTGATATCATAATACTAACTATATTTTGGATAGGTTTGTATATCATCTAAAGCAGCTTATATGATTGACGGAGAGAGTTCACATCATAGCACCTCTTCAGCCCCTTTGCCTGCAGTCCGGGCTCGTGCTACCAGTGCGAACCTCCCTTGCTCGATTTGTTGAATCCACGCGAGCTGCTCTTTGCTCACCGGTCAGGACTTTCTAGGTCTGGCTTGGCAGTGTGGGTAATCCGATCGGTGGGATCCCCGCAGTTGCGACATCGTGTTAGAGTCTTGTACTCAGCTTCCGAATTCATGTTCGATCCGCAGTTTCAGCAGGCTGTAGAGCGGGAGTAGCCACTGGTGGCGTGGATGCCGAAACAGCGTCTACACTGTTTCGGCTTGTCAACGAGAATTGTGAATGGTAGCCATTCCAGATTCGCGAAAGAGACGGAAGCTCGCACGAAGGGTAGAGTCCCGGTGGAAAAGGAAATGCTAGTTGTGGTATGGCACCCCGGAACGATATGTCACACGAGGCCGCACTTGGACTCGCGAGGACTCAGTCACGCGAGAAATCTCACAGAAGACATGATTGGCGTCAGTTTCAATTGGGCTAGGCAGAGTGTTCATCTTTACTGGCGCATTGGCGAGCCTGATGGAGACCAGGTTGAAAGGTTCTTCCAATTTGGCGTTCATACTCGCCCCGTTGGAGGAGACATCTAAATGCCTAGTCTTTCTTCATTTTTCTTTGCCATTATGGTAAAGGACGATTTAATCTGATGAATTGAGGCTATTTCGAAAGGTTTCTTTTTGAAAAGAGTCCCCACTCCATCTCGTGCGCAAAATGGGGACAATTTGTACCACTGATGGTCGTCTTCAAGGCGAAAGAATGGTCGTTTGTCAATTTTTATCTTCGGGCGACTTTCTTTGGAGCTGTAGCCGTAGGTTGCGGCACAGTCTTCACTGCGGGGACTGCTTTTTATCGCTGTCCATGTCATACCACTATATCCCAAGTGCTTTTTATCGGCTGCACTCAGACGACGGGAGTTGGTAGGCTTCTGACGTCGAGAGCCCTCGGTGGAGGGTTCACCGGGCGAGGAAGAAAGACGGATAGCGTAGCGGCAGGGCCAGAGGCCATGTATTGTGCAATGCCGGCGTGTAGATATGCTCTCATGGGATCTTCGAATTGTCTATTTGATACGTAGGTCAAGGAGAGAAGGGTTGCTTCGACGCCAGAGATGGCGACTGAACAGAGTGCCAGATTTGCCGCTGGATCGGCGGCGCGTCGTTCTTCAGCTTCGAGAATTGGTCGTAGCTTGGACGGATATTCTGCTCTGGAGGCAGCTTGAGACTGCGACTCTTTGGTTGAAGTTGCTATTGGTGTAGC